CGTCCCGTCTCGTCCTATCTCTGTAAGTGTCAGGGATCGAGGGTGGTCGCATGCACGAATTAATTTTCCGACCTCCCCTCGACCACGCCCGCCCCCCGCCCCGCCCACGCAGGTCGATGCAGCGCTACACAAAGCAAAAGTTCCGCCCGTCGCACGGCTCCTCTGTCGGCTCGCTCGGCCCAACACGACCCGAGCTCGCCGCGCTGATGCACCAGTATGCGGACGCCGGAGTGCTGTCGACGCACCTGCGCCGCCAGCTGCGCGCGCCCAACCCGACCTCGGAGCGGGACCGCCGCGCCCTGCACACCGAGGCGCGCCTCTTTGTGAAGCAAGGCATCACAAACAACACGACCGCAAACGGCATGAAGCACTACAAGAACCAGAGCCTGATGTACTAGCCGCGCAGAGGCGAGGCGAGGGAAGGCCCGCTGCAGCTCGACACCCGGACCCAGCGTGTGCGAAAGTGTCTCTCTCGAGCGAGAACGCGCGCAGCGTCTAGCAGCGTGGCGAGGAGGGGCGAGAGCGCTTCACACACCGGCCCGGCTAGCCGCTCGACAGGCCGCCTGCGAGCCCCACCTCTCTCGCTTGTGTGAGTCTCGCTACTGCACCGTCGCTTTGCAGCGCTGTGTCGCACGGACTCGGGATTTTCTTTGCAATAAAATAAAAGGAATGTGTGCGCGGTGGGGCCTCGGTAGACCCGCGCCGCAGCCCGCACACCCACAGCGCACAGGAATGCCGGAGAAAAGATCATACTCGCTCGAGGCTGCCGCGCGCGGCAATAGCGAGGGTGCGATTCGCGCACGGAGCGACCAGCGGGGCACGCGCCGCAGTGGTCTGTGCTCGAGCACGCTGGAAGAGCTACTTAGGTGGTTCGCTGTACGGCTCGCCCAGCCGATAGCGACACTCCTGGTAGTTGTGATCCACAATATCGATCCAACGCTTATCGAACGAGAGCTTTGCTCCTCGTGGCAGTTCGGTCCACACGTTGTTCGTCTTTCCGTTCTGGTAGATGAGCCCCGAGTAGCGCGCTGCGCCTCGGACACTCCACTGCTCCAGCACGGGGTCGTCGTCGGTGGTTGCCGTGGTTGCCATCGACCCGAGTGTTGCTGTCGCTTGCGAAGGTGGTCCCAAAGAAGCTGTGCGCCGCTGTTTTCACGCTGCTCAGTCAGCACGCACCCCGGTTAAGCTGCAATGACTTGATATACTCCTCCCCTTGAACCGCCAATGGCAGTTAGCGGACGTCGCCGCGGCTCGTCTCTGCCGCGGCGGCTGCTGCGCGCACGTGGTGGCGGCGCTCTCTCGCGAGACGGCTGGCGACGCGGCTCGCGGCCGACGTACGCTGCGCTCGTCCGACCGCCCGCGGCGTGGCGTGCGCGGCGCTGCGCACCGCTCTGCGAGCGCTTCTGCGCTGCTTTGAGTAAAGTCCACTGTATATGAGCTGCTGCCTCGCTGCTGCGAGTTGACATATCCGGTGATGTGCGAGCGTTCCGTTCGTGCGTCGACTGGCTCCCGGTTCGAGTCGCCGGGGGGGAGGGGGGGGCCTCCTCGGCCTCCTCGGCCTCCTCGGCCTCCTCGGCAGCCTCGGCTGCTTGGCGCACGCGGCGCGCGAGCCGAGCCGCGCTGCCTTTTTGCTCGCTGCCTCCTTTGTCGGCTCGGCCGTTCCGTCTCCTCGCTCTGGCTCGGGCCGTGGGCGTGCTGCTGCTGCTGCTCTGCACTGTTGTCGCCATTTTCAATATCTCTCTCTCTGCTCTCTCTCTCTCTGCTCTCTCTCTCTCTCTCTGCACTCTCTCTCTCTCTCTCTCTCTCCCCCTCTCTCTCTCTCTGGG